TACTTTTCTCTGAAGCTCAATTTCCTCATCTGTAAAGTGGGAATGCCAGCTTTGTTGTGAGATCAAATGAACACAAATGTAAAAGGTTAGCATCGTGTTTGGCCCCCCCAAAGTGCTCAATAAATTGTGATTCTGTGGGGTGCACCATGGGGCTGGCGTAGTTCTAGTGAAAAAGAAGGAATCTTCTGAGCATGAGGGAAAAAAAAATTAAAAAAGGACAAGAACCTTGCCTGTGGGGTAACTGTCAGGCACCCACCCCTCCATCACCCTACCACTCTTTACTCCCCAAAAATCTGGGCGGAAAATGGGGCTTTAACTCCTTAGTATTTCAAGGGAGAGGGGTGACCTGTCATGGACCAGTCAGAAATATTTTCAAAACCACATGCTGTTACTACAGAGCATTTGTTATCACAGGCTAAGACAGGTAACTTCACAACTCTTTGGAAAAAACTCTAAGGCCTAAATGATCGTAGGCCGAGGCCATTTGCGTGCATACAGCAGGGGGGCAGGGGTGGGAGTGGACAGAAGGAGACACACAGCCCATAGGGAATGGCGCTGTTATTACAGCCAGCTTCCAACAGCTATCCATGTGCTCACAAAGTCCCAGGCAAAACACACAAACAACAACAAAAAAATTGTACATGTAACTTGAAGCTAATTTGTACTACTGGATATCTGACAGAAGCCACAAATAAACTATTGTTCTTACTGAAACAGCATAGAATTAACATTAAACTTAAATAAAACAAACCTAAATTTAAAATATCCCTCCCCCCCCCCAAAAAAAACCCCAGGTCCCAGGCAGTGTAAAAACTTCATGGCCTTGGGAGTTACAACCTGGTTCCAATTACTGCTGCATTACTTACCAGCTACAGGAGTTGCCTGGGGAAGTAAGAATAAAATGCCCACCCCGCAAGTGTTGGGGAGAGGATAAAATATATGAGAATTCACGCAAAATGCCTAGCACAAATACAATAAATGGCATCTGGTGTTATGGTTATATAAATACAAATATTATCCTCAGTGCATTTTGCAATTTTCCAGCAAGTTGCCAGATGGGGAGATCCTGTAATTACTATTAGAATAGTGAAGGAAAAAGCAAAAAAACAAACCAAAAAAAAAAAAAAAAAAACCCTGTGAAACATCAAAATTCTTAAAATGCTTCAGTGGAAATTTTACAAAAAAAAAAAAAAAAAAAGCCACTGAACACTGGATCTATTACGAATCATCATAATCAAATTAGTTGGGTAAAAGACTGACAATGTTGCCAAACATGACTCCTCATAAAATTCTATCAATAAATTTTGAAAACAGACTTCTGAATAATGGCAACTGTTGACTACATAGCCTCGGGCAAGGCATTAGCCTCTTTGGGTCTGTTTTCTGCTCTGTAGAAAAATACAGCGCTGACTGTACCAACCTAACCACACCTTAGTTCTTTGCTGAGAAATTTTAAATGAGAACACATGTGAAGCACCAACGTAGCAGACACTCAATATTTAATCTTATTGTCCTTCCTCCTCCTCCTAGTTTTCACTCAGTTCTACCACCGCATCTTTACCAAAACATAAAGGTCTGATCACATAGTGAGAAAGGAGGACAGGAAAATGGATGGATGGATCAATGAATGGATGGATGGACGGACAGACAGACAAATGGATGGGGCTTAGGTGAGATGGAGTAAAAAAAAAAAAAAAGTCCTGGCTATTACTATGAAGGTCAGCTTGTACATTTACTTCATTCTTTCCCCTCCTAGGCAGAAGCCGAGGCTCCAAACCTGTTTTGCGCCAGATGGGTTACTGAGGACCCACTTGCCAAGCACTGGGAGAGGGCCCTAAAAGGGCAATCTGTGTGAACTGAACATCTTGCTCAACTGCATTCAGCTCCATTGTGAAATATGTGTACACCTGAGCAGTGACTCTACCCTCTGACCCTGAACCCAGGTTTCAAGGGCAAATGTGTCAAAAGAAGGACTCAAGAACCTACAGACACAAACTCTCTGAAAGGGGCCAACACCACCCACGCAATAAACCACGACTGGCAGCCGTGCATTTGCCAGCCGGGATCTGTACTCTGCACGTGCTCACGTGTCGTCTCAACCTGCACAGACCTGGACTCCGAGCCTGAGCCTGGTTCCGTTTCTTTGTCACCTTATGACGTTGGGCAACTCACTTCACCTCTCTGGTCTGTTTCCTCAATTGCAAAACAGGGATAATAAGGCCTACCCTACTCACTCATTAGGCTGTCATGAGCACAAAATGTAAAAAGGCAGCCTAATGAAAGCCACAACACTTTCAAACCCATGTGATGTGTAATATAAACATCAAGTTAGGGCACTGACAATCTTGTTTTCCTCAGGAAAGCAGAGACTGGGACTAAATGGAAAGCTCAGAGCCCTTCCCCAATTAAGTGCTAGTCATCTTTATCCTGGTGGCTGCTTCCTGAGTCCTCTGACAGGTTTTTGCAGAGGGAACCATACGGGACTCGGAATCCACAGATGCGCACGCAACGGCAGCGCTGCTCCTCTTCTATACGGACTGACTGGGAACATTCGTTCTCTGAGCCTCCACATTTCATCAGTAAGACAAAGGTAATGTCTACTTCAGAATGACCATCTCAACTTTGAAATGAAATATTACCTATAATGTACCAATAATGCACTGCGGGCATTTGACAAAGATCTGTTGAACTGATATTGAAACTGAGATGAAGTTATAAGGACAAATATTTCCGTACTTGCTCTTTGGGCAAGTGAAATACTTCACCACTTTTATGTCAATACTTCACAGTTAAAATCCTTCAAAGAAGTACTCCTTCTGTAAGGGCGGCAGCACTGTAAGGAGACCTTCACGATCCAGAGTTCCGTGTTCCATCAACCAGATGCGGCGACATCACAGCAAGTGCCAGACAGCCTAACTAATTCTTTTGAAGTATATCTATTTTAAAGTATACTATTACACTTGGGAATAATTTCAAACTCTGGTCAAGGAGGGACATCCAAATGCTGCCTGGAAATATTTCAAGAGTTTGGAAAATTTTCCTCAATGGATGAAACACGGATACAGGCCGAGAAGGAAAGGAGAATTAAGGAAAGGGCAACAAGAGGCAACGTTCTGGCCCGTCCTTGTGCTATGCACTCTCCATGCATCCTTTCACTTACCTATCAGAGCAACTCCCTCTTTATACGTGAAATTCTAGCATGGTCCACTAACATTAACCAGTAAGACTGAGGGACTTAGTAAAATCACCCCCTTGCCTTTTTAAAATAGCTAACTGTGACTCAGAGCACTCCTTCTAGGCCATACAACAGTAAACTAGATGAGCAGCCAGAGGAATCCAAGCTCAGCCCCGAGCTCACGCTCTCCTCTTGCTGTCCTCTACTTGGAGATTTCTGAGGTTGGTTTTCCCTTACTTATTTCCCTTCCCAAGGAGTGGAGTGGTTTTCCCACACGTAACAGAGGTGGCACTATGAAGCAAGCCAAAGACTCTTCTCCAAGAACAAATACTCCAGTTTCCTTACAGCTGTGCTGCAATAAGTCTTGTGACATCCTCAGCAAGCATAGAATGAAGCTGTTGTAATCGCCTCATTTCCCCATTTGGATGGCAAGCCTTAACTGACTCTGCTTCCCAGCAAAAACTCTGAGCTATAAGATTGCATTTAGAGGAACTGTCTTTGAGCCTTGGACTATTTATACTGAGTTAAGAGTTTCAACTTCTAGAACAAGGCCTGTCTTCCTAAGGCCCCGAAGCGAACGGCAGAGGAAATCCAATCACCGGCCAGATGGGAAGTGCGGAGGAACGGTGCCTATCACTCTCTGGAATACGGTCACCGGAGAGCTCAAGTAGCAGAAGCTCCTCTGAGACGAAGAGCGTCCCTCCCACCGTCACTGTATCTGCAGCGCCCATTAGAAAGCTTCCTGCAAAGAACCTGCCGTCTGGCTCGACTGCAAAAATTATAAGCTTGGCAGGTAAAGCAAAAACAATCAAAACAAAACACCTGTTTATATAACAGTAAGTAGCATTACATTCTGAGATCTCTTCCTGGCCTTTGCAGACTACCCCACGCTCACAGCTAAAAATGATAAAATACGAACCACAACTAAATTAAATCTAACATGAGCAAAACACATGAGAATCTGGGAATAATGACTCAATTTACAAGGTCCCTTCAATGCTAAAGAACATAGATACAGTAAGGTTTATTCTTTAGATTAATGTAGCAGAAAGATGACAATGATCATAAAACGATAAAAACATATTATAGAAAAACTATACTTGTAATTTCTAAGTATTCCAACGAAAAACGCTGCCTGCTATAATAATTTTTCTTTATTTACACAAGGAAAAAAAAAGAATTCTGCAAATGTTTTGACTAACAGCCTTCCTTCAGAAGCCTCTCTGAAGAGTCAGACTGTAACAATTGAGACTGCCGACACACAGACAGGATTTCCTACTGCACAACGCCAGGGCAGCTCGGTTGCCATTTACTGCTACTCATATGAAGAAACCAGTGCTCTTGATTTCATTCACAGAAATTACATTCAGACCAAACCTCAGTGGTTCAGTACGATTTCTGAGTGCAATTATTATTTTGAAGTATTCACTCCTAATTAACTCTTTCAAGTCTTGAAGACATACCAGAAAAAAGCTATGGCACTGCTTCCTCTTGTACTAAACTGGGATAAACTGGATCCATGGTAATGGAATGCTACCCCCACAGACAAGACTTATTCTGGGTTTTCAGTGACAGTAAGAGGCAAGGAGCCGGGAAGGCAGGGAGACAGAAGAGAGAGAAAAGGGTGATGTGACTTACGTGTGTCACTCGCAGACACGGGGTGGTGAGCAGGAGCAGGCTCCCAGGCTTCCAGCGGAAGGCAAGGCAGAGAGCTGAGATCCTAATTTGTGGCAGTGCATGCTGCGATGCCAAGTGGGTGGGACAACCATGAATCAGGGGCGGGGCTGGTGGTGAGGGGCGGGAGAAAGGGAGAAGGAGCACTTACTCGGTCAGAAGCTTGTGCAACTGGTGATAACCCCGCTCCAAGGCCAAGCTCACAGGTGTCGCTCCTTCCTGGTTGTGGATGCTGAGAGCTCCGCGGCCGCCTGGCTTCTGCAACAGGAACCATGTCAACCTCAGCAGGCCCAGCCGCACAGCAAAATGCATCAATGTCTCACGGGGGCCACCATCTGTAGATGGGGGGAGAAAATAAAAATGAGAGAGAAGAGAATGTGACAACAAAAAGCAAACCAACAAAAACCAAGTTCAGCAAACACCACCTGCCTCCAAGTACCTAAGAGCCTAAAAGTGAAGGCCACAACGTACAACATGAACAATGTAATTGTGGTTGAGGAGAAAGCTCTCAAATAAAAACAAAATAAAGCTAGGAAAAAGTACGAGAAGCAAAATCTCCAATAGGAGACAGTCCCACAAGAGACTCAAGCCATTTGTATATTCTGATTCAATGCATTTGTTCAACGAATTGATGCAGGTGGATTTAGAAAGGTGATCCCACGCGTATGTTCTTTTCCTTAAAAAAAAAAAAAAAAAAAAAAGTAGATGTAGCCTCACAACATGGGGATCCAAAGGGAAGAGTTGTTGGGGCTTAGGGCTTAGATGGGTGTATCATAAAGAGTATATAATTACTTAAAAAAATAACACCCAGGCAGGAGTTGCCCAGTTAAACATTAAAAACAGGTTCTGCTTGTTAAGGACACACAAGTCTTTTTATTCCCCCATATTAAGGGCAAATGAAATTGTTGGCACTACCAATTCTTTGTTTGTTTGTTTGTTTGTTTGTTTGTTTAAAGAAAGAAAGAAAAACACCCATCTCCAGGCATAATAGGAAAAACTAACTCTAAGATAATATACTAAAAACTTCAGAAAGAGAAGCATGTGTTTGGCCTCATGTCACTTGAAGTGAAGGTTCCTTGTTGGTTCAAGGAGACACTGTGAAAGTCAGACAAATCTGGGTTCCGATTAGCCATTTACCAACTGCAGGGCTGGGCAGAGCCCAGCTGACCTCTCTGAGCTTCACGTTCGTCATCCCCGGAGTGCGGTGCCCACCCTTCACTCCCAGGACTGCAATGACGAATGACCGGAGACAGGTGAGGCGCTAGTATGACGACTGGCTGGAGCAGATGGCCACTAAATGCCAGGTACCTTCCCTTTCCCTGCTCTCTTCCCTGTCCTTCTGGACTTCAGGTTACATTCTGGGTTCACTAACTATCAACAGTCTCCCTTCCCCAGGCGCCCTCCCGCGCTCCGCCGGGGACGGTGGGCTGATGCCACTGTGGGCTGCACTGTGCGCCCCCCCGCAAGCTTACACTTCCCAGCTCCAGGGACGGTCACTCAGGGACTGGAGCGGAGTGGCGCCCTGGAGCTCTGCCTGTCGGCTTCGCGAACATCTCTCATTCTCCGTGGCCTCAACTTCTTCACTGAGCAGCCTCAGACCCCTCGGATCCCACTGTGTCTCCTTGCACTGAAGTCCTCGATGCTTCTCCATGTGAAGAGCACAATGAGAATGAAGGCACCTCTGAACCTGTGATTTATACTGAACTACACTGTTTTCTAATGGCGTGTGTGTGTTGGTTTAGTCTCCTTATTGCCGAGGTAAATCTTCTTGGAAGCAAAAGCTACCTATCGTATTTTATTTTCCCTGTAGAACTATGCACACTAATTCAGGATTTACAGTGCTCAGCAGAGGGTCATGGCTGGAAAGAAATCAACACCCAAAAGAAACCACTGCATGAGGAGGCACAAATTTTAAAAATCAACACCTCGGCAGGTGGTAAGGCAGGCAAAAGGACAGACAGACCCTTCAGAAAAGATCAAATACCACCATCCGATTTGTGCCTGAAGATGTTCATAAGCACGCTGACATCCTTATCAAAAACAAAAAAGCTACTAAGGCACTGACCAGGAATTATGTGATTGTTTAAAGACTGGTTAATTCCAGCCTTACGAGGTGACACCTCCTTAAATTACTTTTCTCTCCATCCCCACCCTTCCTGATCCCTTATTTGCTCTGAGTCAGCTCAGCATTTAAGAGGACAGCTCCGTACACCTGCTCAAAGCTGGCACCCTAATTCCAGCACCTGTGTCCTCCCCAAATCTCAGTCTAAGGTCCTCAGCAGCGGGCACCACATCTGCTGTTGAGTCACCCCCATTCGGCAACGAAGAGACTGCACACGAAGCACCACGTGATGAGGACCTGCGAAGTGCCACGTACTGGCTAAATGATTTACACTGACTTTTTCCATTCTCACAATGGCCCTTTGAGAAGGTCTCATCTCATTTTGCAGATGAAAATCTGTCTTGAGCCTAAAGACCATATCCTTTCCATTATTCCACACTGCCTCTATTCGTAAACATCAAGAAAATGTTGTGGTTTATAACACATCCTGTCATATATTTTCCTCCAATAATAAACATTTTACCCATTAGAGCTTCTACTGTTTTTGTTCCTTTTATATCACTTTAAACTCCAGAGTGCCTACAGTTTGGATCCATCTCTGTTCTCTCCTCTTTATATCTATATACGTTTTTTTCCTCCAATGAGCCTTTGTATTTTTCTTCTATTCTAAGAGTTATCCAGCTGTGTTTTTCAGGTCACTAACTGCATTTCCTATGATGTCAACTGGGTCCTCTGTCCCCAGTTTGAATTTAATTATGCCAAGGGATTCTGGATGTCCTTGCATCATTTCAGCCAACTCCCTTTCCATCTTTGCCCTCATTGCGATGGCTCTTCTGTAGATGTAATTAAAGCCCCTAATCAGCTGATTCAATAAGGAAGATTATCCTGGATAATCTGGGTGGGCCTGAATCCCAATCCCCTGGAAGGCTTTAAAGGCAGGGCTGCGGCTCCCCCTCAGGGAGAGTCCCTTGGGGGAGGACAGCAGGCGTCTGTGCTGGCGCTCGTCTAGCTCGGGGTCTCTCCTTCCTACTCGCAGGACGACCGCTCTGGCCCAGGGAGGTGGGTATGAGCTCGCCCCGCCAGCCCCCACAATCATGCAAGCTGTTCCGCGCAATAAATCTTAATACGTATTTATTCCTCCTCCCGGTTCTGATTCTCTGGTTGAAACCTGACTGACATACTCATTAAACCTATTTTGCTTCTTGCTGCTTCCTTCTCTAATTTCATTATACGTCTGCCTTCTTCAATTTTTTTAAAGGATAAATGGAAAATCTCTTCTAAATTTTTCTTTGGTTTCTTAAAGACAATTATGCTCAGAGAGCCTTCCATCTGAATACTCATGATACTTTTCCATTTCCTTTATACTGTAATGTTATTTCACAGGCCATATGCTGGCTGGTTGCTTTTCCTGTTGAACCATACTCAACTGGAAAAATCGCTCTGTGACCCCAGCTCCCACCCACCGAGAAGGTAGTAGAAAACGTCTTAAGGCCCACTTGCTACCCGCTTACAGGCTAGAAGCACCTCCCATACACATTCCCCCAGATCTGCAGAGAAAGCTTATGTGCCCAGGGGGCGTGACTCCACGGTGAGATGCTAGATGGCTGCTGTTTCTTCAACTGTCAGGTTTTCTGACTAATAAGCAAAATGCTCTGAGTTCTGCGAACAATATAGTAATCAAAGACTATGTGTACTTTCCTTACCTCATCAATCCATGCAGAGGCCCTGCTCACAGTAATTTTTGAATCTCTACCTATGAGACTCCAAAATCGCCCTTCTTCCTACTATTCTGTACCGCCACTCAGATATACCTGTGGTCCCACGGGACGCAGGAGCTCTCACACCCCACGGGGAAGGAGAACAAAAGGCCGGTGTGAGGAATAGGCTTTGGAAAAATGACACTTGCAATCTTGTGACAGAATCAGGGCTGGACAGGCAACAAAACCTTGTGGAGCTAAAGTCCTACTATTACTAGAAACTGCTTGTCTTGGAGTCAAGATAGCAATCCTCGGTGAAGGAAAAAAATCCCTTAACAGTCTCTTTATATTTTATTCTCTTTTTTATCAGCTACAATAGCTGAAAAAAATACACGAACACTAGTGAGTGTAGCTAAGAAAAAATATCCATGAAAAGCTACCGAACAATTTGGAAGGGGCATGGAAACTAAAAGAGCAAATTATTATGGTTGAGGCTCCATCAGCCAACATCAGGCACACAGAACTGAGGATGCATCAGCTGTTTTTAGTAGCCTTCCGTAAACCTGGCTCATCCTTCTGCCCACCCCCATTACTCTTTGTGGGGAGAAATCCCACCACCAGAGAGGATTAGACCTTCCTTTCGCTTAGTTCTACCATACCATGAGTAAGTAAGAATGAGATTTCCCCCCAGATTGTTTCTCCTCCTTGTTTTCTCCAGAGCAAGTCTTCAGTGGGCCCAACCTGCTACCTGAGAGGTATGCTGACTGCCACTGTACCAAGTTCTTTCAGGAGAAAAAAAAAATCTTAATTCATCATTTTCACTAACCACCAAGACACTGAAAAGCTCAAACAACTAAGTGAGACGTACTGAGAGGGAAGATATTTTTACTCACCATGAACCCTCCCCCCAAGGCGACTCCTTTCTGCATGCGAGGCAGATGCAAGGCAAAAAGTCCAGTGTAGAGGCTGCTTTATGTAGCTAGAGGTTAAATTACCCTTGTAAGAACTAAAATGGACAAACTCCCTCTTGCTCATTTTAAAGTGAGGATTAACTTTAGAAGTTAAAGCAAAAGAAATACAGTCTCATTATGCTTCAAAGTGCCTTTCCTTTTTCTGCTCTTCTATCATATCCCTTTATAAGACACGCTACTTTCCCTTGTCAGACCTCAAAGTTTTGTCTCTAAAAGGTTACTGGATACTGGTGCTGGTGTATTCAAAAGGAAGAGCTCTGCCAACTGGCACACACTACCCAAATATATTTTCCTCCACTTTATAGATGAAGACACTGGGAAACAGGCAGATGAGTATTTTGCACACACTCCTGCACCGAAGCCAGGATATAAACGGACTAACTCCACTGCCTATGTTCTTTCCATTTCACAATATCAAATCCAAACTGGGAGTCAATGTTCATTCCTGCAGCTCAAGGAAGCTATGAATCCCTGAAATTATACGTCAATTTTTGCAGGCCTATATGCATTTTTTCCATAGGAGAAATATGAGCTACTTTCAAAGGGGCCACTGACCTGGGGGGGAAAAAAGCATTAAAAAGATCTGCATCCAAACAATTAAGAGTGAGGATTAAACATAAATCTTACAGGATTCCTTTGTACAAGCATTAGGCTGGAACACCTGTAAACATCCTTGCTTTCGACAGCAAGTAGTCCTGTTATGAAACAAGGTGTCCGATTTACCCGTATTATTACCCCAGGCAACAGCTTACTTCATACCTTTTTCCTTTAAATATCTTTTTAAAAGTGTTTCACGTACAACGCAATGTGAGCAGAACGTTCCTCTACCTTCGCTCCTCCAGAGCAGGCAAGTGCCTGTTACCTGAAGTTTCTCTGCCCTTAAAATACTCAGTGTTTGTAGATTCTAATCCACAAATGAGCAGTTAAAACTGTTCAGCACTTGAAATCAGATTCCTCATCCCAGTTGTTGACTCAAAGGCAAGTATATCACAACCCTTCTGTGCATTTCACCTTGCAAAGTATACACCTAACTTGTTCATTTTTCTTTTGTTCTTTTATTTTTAATTTATGTGCAAAATTCACTTTTGTGGGGTATACTATCCTATGTCTTGGAACACATACGTAAGTTTTCATAACCACCAACAGCACCAAAATGCAAAACCGTTCCAACACCCAAAGAATTCCCCCAGGACACCCCTCTGCTGTCAGCCCTTCCCCCACCCAGACTTGGCCGCTGCTCATCTGGTTTCTGTGCCTATAATTTTGCCCTTACCAGAATATCTCGTAAGTGAAGTCATATACTGAATACCCTCTGGAAACTGACTTCTTTTACATAGCGCCGTGCGTTTCAAATGCACTAAAGTAGTTGCGCATGTCAATAGTTTTTAATGCTCAGTAATATTCAGTTGTGTGGCTGAACCACAGCTTGTTTATATATTCACCCAGTGAGAGAGATCCAGCTTAGGTCCAGTTTTTGGTGAGTATAAACAGTGCTGCCAAAGGCAATGTATGTGCAAAGATTTTTTTGAGTTAATGTGAGAATCTTGGATTAATATCCAAAAGTAGAATCCAGTAAATACAGTAAATGTACATTTAACCTGATGAGAAACTGCCACATGGCCTTCTAAAGTGGTGGCATCATTCAGCAGTCCCACAGCAATATATATAACATGTTCCGCATCCTTGCCAGCACTTGGTATTTGTAATCTTAGCTTTTCTCTTAGGTGTGTAATGGTACCTTACTGTGGTTTTAATGTATCTCCCTAAGTGTTCAAATTTGATTTAGTCTCTGCTAGCACCACTTGGGCAATTTTATGCAACAGAAACTTAAGAAGCCCATGGAAAGTCCACAAAAATATTAAACCTGGCCAGTTCCCTACTGCAGACAAGGAAGTTAAGGCCCAGAGAGGAGAAGTGATATGCCTTAAGTTTCAGACCTGTTCTTTTTCTAACACAGTTGACCTTTGAACAACGAGAGGGTTAGGGACACGAACTTCCCGCGCAGTCAAAAATCTGTATATGACCTAAGTCAGCCTTCTGCATGTGTGGATTCCCAACCCCATGGACTGAAGGTATGTGTATAAGTGCCTCTGTGCAGTTCAAACCCATGTTGTTCAAGAGTGAACTGCATTTTGCCCTGGCTCGTGTGGCTCAGAGGATTGAGTGCTGGCCTGCGAACCAAAGGGTCACCGGCTCAATTCCCAGTCAGGGCACATGCATGGGTTCCGGGCCGGGTCCCCAGTAGGGGGCATGTGAGAAGCAACCACACATTGATGTTTTTCTCCCTTTCTCCCCCTCTTCCCTCTGTCTAAAAATAAATAAATAAAATATTTCTAAAAAAGAAAAGAGTGAACTGTATTTCTTGTTAATCACAGTAAGAAACTATCCAACTCCTGTGCCTTCTTTAAACAAACACACATCATAAAAATACCTTAAGCTCTACAAAGAACTAATGCAATCCATCTTGATAGTTCCATAAACGGCAACCAGAATAACCATTCTTATACCAATACAGAAAACAGGAGGGCTGGAGGCCCTCGACGTTAGTAAGCCTCGACGTTAGGTTTCTGAAAAGGTGCTCACGCCCGATGTAATGGCAAACATTCTGATCTCTAGATCTTAGCAATGCAGAGGGTTATTGGACACTGTAATAGTAAGAAAAAAGAAACGGACAAATGCTTTCTTCCCCGATTGTAGTCTACGCTTTCTTTTGTATTCTACCTGGGCAGGAGGCTGCTTTGGTAGTATGTTCACAGTAAGCCCCTGATGGTAAGGGACAACATTCCTACGGCTGATCACAGGTTCAACTGTTAAATTCAGTGGATATAAAAGAAGCAAAGGTGGCGAATGCCCTTTTGCCCGTCTTCCACGGGAGGTAGATTATGTTCATTTGATGGGTCTGTGGGAGCAGACACTGGGCATGCCCCTGGCTTAGTCCCCTCTGGACACTTCTCCTTGGGGTCTGCTGTCCCTAAATACACGGTGACCAGAGCTGGGTGGACACTGAAGGGAAGTCCTGTGATTGTCCAGCTCTTTAGAAAGGGCAGCAAATCTTTGTGCTGGATGTCTAATGTCCCTCTTCCAACGCAGCTTTCATCAGTAACAGAAAAATCATTTTCATCTCTAATTGCGTAACTCCTAAATCTTTCCATTGGATTTGAACTCAGGAGGGAAAGAGGATGTTTTATTTAGGGATTCCAGGTATAAATTGTTTCAATTAAATATATATGTATATATGTTTATAAAAAACCATGACATCTAGCAGATGTCCAATCTGCCACAAGATTATGTGGGAAAACCCCTGTCTGACTAAGAGGAACATAAATAGATCCTTATTACATCCGTGTTTTTAAAAAGTGAAGGCCTTACTTCAGCAACCTCTCACACAGAGAGCCAGTAAATAAGCAAGAGTGAAAATCTGGTTTGAAAAGTATGGGGTTAAAATAGTAACAATGATAATAAAAACAAAGGAAAGAAACAAAAGAAAAACACACAAAAAAAGAAAAAAAGAAAACAAACAAAAGTGTGGGGTTTTTCAGAGCTCAGCCTGCCCTCCTGCTCCCCCACTCACTTCCCACCTTCCTTCGCTCCAGCTCCGTGGACTCTGTGGAGAACTTCAGAACACCCGTCTTTGACAATGAAATACCAAAAAAAGTCCAAAAAGTTACCCTCCTGCTCTCTTCATGAAGGCCTGGCCACTTTCGACACCTGGGAGACCCAGCCTGAAACCGGACCCACAGGAAGGGGCTGGGCCACTCGCTAGTGAGCGAGAAGGGAACGGCGACAGCAGCTCTCTCAGCAGCTTGCTCTCAGGTCACTGCGAGGCAAGAGCAGGTTTAACAGCTCGGCTGAAGAACCCAGAAGAAATGCCATCAAGGCCACTTGGCTACTCCAAGTGTGAGATTTATTATTTATTAGTGTGAGATTTATTCAGCCACTGGGGAAGACTTGATGACAAGGACCACGTAAGAGCAGCCCTGCTGAAAACCATAAGCATTCCAAACTCAGCATGTGTTGGTGGGTCTTTTAAGTTCTTACCATGCAGAGTCTGGTCTGTTCCCAACACGTTCCACTCCGCCGGCAGTTTCAGGTGTCGGAATGCCAGGGCCACCTTCTCATCGAGGGAATTCACATCTGTCGACGGGGGTCCCGACCGATCAAGAAAGCGGGTGAAGTTCAGCGCCTGCTGGTTCCCAGCGCTGGTGGCCAGGAACTGGGCAGCATCGTACGCCTCATCCTGGATGAACTCGAAGTCCTCTTCGGCCACCACGAACACGGGGAGGCCCTCTTTGGAAGCACACAGCTGCACCTTCACGGTCTCACAGCAGTCGTGACCTAGAGAAGCCCCATGGAACAAAGAAGACAGAGGTCAAAGAGTCCTCTGACCTAAAGGGCCACCCGTGGGTCCGTTCTGCTCTTCTTGCAGGTGGTACAAGTTCCCCTTCCTAGAAGAAGCCCCTCCTTTCTCTGAGCTCAGAGAGCAATCTTCCAAACTGCTTAAAACTCCATTTCCAGCTCTGTTGTTTGCAAATACATAGTAGTTCCCTTGCCAAACAGCAGACTTTATGTCTCAGTTGTCACCGTGCATACAGCATAGTGTTTGGCACTGAATAGTCTCTGAGTATCTCAATGTATATTGAACTACAGCTGTTCAATTTGAACAGACTAAAGAATGAAAGCTCACGGATCTGATGAGGCCTGTAAACAGTGGGAAGTCTAATACCTACTGAGCTGAATTTTAGATCAGAAAGTACAATAGGGTTAAAGGTCACTCGTACAGGTTACGTAAGAGGAATTTTACAGGCTCCTCAGCACTTGCCTTATGATCACAATACAACCAATCAAATAAAGTACCTTGAAAAGCACAAAAAGTATTTGATTTTATTCTGCTATTATTAGCAATTCAAGGCCAAGAAAATAATTTCTGCTCTCATACACGTTCTTTCATATGAAGTAACGAGGACGTCAGTGAAATCGCCTGGTTCACAGAGGGACGACACAGTGCCGTGGCCACAAGCCCAGCCAAGGTACAGCAAGCACGCTCGTGATGGCGGTGCCACAGTACAGGGGAGCAGAGACCCCGTGAGCTGTGGCAGGAGGCAGCAACCTGCACGCCACCTCAGAGAGCGCCGCCTGAGTAAAGCCAGAAAGGTCTCACCGCACTGTTTCTGTGGGTGAGGCCTTCTTGGGGAGTCAGACTCTCCTGTGGATTCTTATCCTCACAAAATTAAGTATTTCCAATATGCAGGACATTTATTCAAACAGTTTTCCCTCAACTTTCAAACACTGATCTCAACTAGGGCTAGGCTAACATCATCATTCTCCTTCCACAGCCTATCTTTCTGATGAGGAAAAAAAAAATAAAGAAAAGGGAGCTGATGTTTGTGTTGCTTTCCCTGATGAACCGCAGGCGCCTGTGCACCCGGCTCCGCTGAACCCACCCACACACAGGGGCTGCCAGTCCACAGCAGAGGGAGGCCCTGGGAAACCCTCTCCGTGGCCTAGGACGCTGGCTTTCTGTGCCATGGGCACCAGCCAGCAGAGGTTTCAGGCTTGGGCAGAACAAACTAAGCTTTCTGCTGTCTTTATAAGAGAAAACAGTATTTCTTTTTCCATGTTTCTAATGAAAATAATAAGTAAATTGATTTTCCATGTGCCCTTCCCCCAGTGGCCTCCGTAAGCCCTGTACCCTACAACAAAAGAAATCTCTCACTGCCGTGTAATCTTAGAGTGGCAACAAGTATTTACTAACCAAGCACCTACTACATACCAGGCATTTTCTCTACACAACAGATTCAGAAGGTAGGTATTGTCCTCACAGTATGGATGAGAGCTCTGAGACTTCCAGGTTACACAGGTTCAGGGGCAGAATCCATTATTCAAATTGAAGTCTGATGCCAAAAGACAGGGTAGCCTATTACACTATGATGCAAGAGTTCTGTACCACATTGCTTATAAACAAAAGAGGAAGGGTGAGAGCTTTGTTCCTGCCTGAAAGGAGCCCAATACTTGGAATGAGAAGCCAGTATGACTATTAGGCAAAAATGACAAAGATTAACAGGTTCATGAGCCACCAAGATCAGTTTCCATATAAACATGCACCTCTGCCAGATATTCCCCCGCCTTCCAAGTTGAATTATTCCCGTGAAGGCTGTAAGAAACTGAAGCACCCTGTGTGTGCGTGTACATCCCTATGTATGCATTTCAACTCAATATATTTTTTGAATTTAGCCCTGACCAGTGCGGCTCAGTTGGTTGGGCATTGTCCTGCAAAGCAAAGGTTGCCAGTTCGATTTCCAGCCAGGGCACATGCTAGGATTGAGGTTTCAGTCCCAGTCAGAGAGTGTATTAAGGTCCCAGGTCAGAGTGCATACAAGAGGCAACCTAATGGTGTTTCTCTCTCACATCGGTGTTTCTCTCCCTCTCTCCCTCCCTTCTCCTCAAATAAATAAAACATATAAAAACAATTTATATAGTTTGAATTTATATAATTAATATGTGCAATAAAGTTAGAAAAAAAAATCTTAATCTTCTTGAAAGGCAGCCAGCCTCATTACCTAAGACAACCAGGAGAAACAAGGCACCTGATCCAGGTAGAGGGCTTGGGTATTTTTCTGGCAGAAAGAGAATGTTTCCTTCAACTGTTCTGTAACATCTAACAACAACTAGACATGTACTGAGCTCAGGGAGCTGTGATTAGAAGGTAAAGATGAAGAAGGTGAGAATTTTAGCCCCTCAGAGTTTGACAGTCTATGAAGGGGAATCAAAAAAGCTGTAGATAACTGCAGAGGAAGTCAAAATTAAATAAGTTCTATAAGAAACACACACCGTGCTGTTGGTGGGGGAGGAGCAGCGCGTGTCACAGGTGGGCCACAGTGGGAAACCATCACAAAGGTCCTCCTGCTCCCAGGGGCACATCACTGCAATCCGCAGAACTGAGGTGCACAGTCTCTATCTTATCTAATCTAACACACATTTACATAATACTTGCTCTGTGCCAAGCACCATTCTCAGTGTTTTCCAAACAACAGTTCATTTACTCCTCGTTAACAACCCTATGCAGTAGATCCTATTATCTTCCCCTCTTGCGACAGGAGGAAACCAACGCACAAAAATACTAAGTAATCTGCCCAATACTATAAATCTCTTAAAAGGCAGAATTAGAATTTGAACCCATTTCCTGGCTCTAGAGTCCCCCTCTGCACCCAATATTTATGGTACAAGAGCTCAAAAGGAAATACGGATAGCGCGGAAGAACCAACAGGACTGGAATAAAAGCACGGGGTTCCATCCTGGCTCAAAGGCTCATGGGGCTCTGAGACCTCAGATCCCCTCTGCGGCCCTGCACCTCGGCTTCTTCACTCAGAGCAGAGCAAGCACCTCCACAGGCTCTGCGGCTCCTCCTGCTGTTGAAGCCAGTGCATCTCACCAGGCAGGTGAGAAGGGAGAGAAAAGTAAGAAGAAATTCCAGGAACTGGAAAGTTTCAAAAAAAATAAAAATGGAAGCAGAGGGTAATAAGCCCAAGGGATGAACTAATTACTATAACACAGTTTCAGGAAGATATTAACTTGGCTACATCCAGATGCTTAGTGATAGGAAAGACCTGAGTTTAAATCTTTTTTCTTTCTTATTTGCTATGTAGCCTGAGGTACATGACAACCTCTCTACCACTTTTAAATCTAGATCGTTTCATCGTCTTATAATTGAAGAGGTGTAACTCAGAAGAGACCTCTAAAATTCTTTAATACTATTTCCCAAAACAACATACATCGTGTCATGTGATTTTCAGTTAAATTAAATCAGAAGTTAGATATATAGTAGGCAGGTGAGTAGGTAGGTAGGAAGACATATAGTTGTGGCAATATGTACTTTGGTCAGAAGAATTATTTTAAAGTAAAAATACTGTAGTTCTCATTTATGTATGTAACCAATAATTATAGCATTTTCCCATTTATTCAGGATTAAACTAATTTAAAAATTCCTGCCCAGTCTTTTGAGGTGGAGATGAGTAAATGTCAATAAAAACAAAAGCCATAGGTTTCACAATTCAATGACGATAATGTGAACGATCTGGGATCCAAACAGAATTGTCTTCAAAACTTAAACTTGTTGTGAGCCTTAGAAGAGAAATTACACTAACCTAAAATAATCGTGTCCACTGCCCCTACCCCCCTAAACAGTCTCGATTCTTTACTAGTCTCCTTCCCCAAGCTGGTGCAAAGGTGAGAACCCTGAAACTGTGAACCATAACAGGAGTCACAACGCCACTGCAAGTACGTACCATTTACCGCGCTACGTATCACCTTCTGGATACACACAGGGTTCATACTGTACCCCAGTTCTTCGACTTCATCAGACAGACACGCATACACACACGGAACAAAAAGCCATGGTGAAGCAATACCGCCTTCCTCAGAACTAAGAAGTACAGAAGCAAAGTATCTGCGCAGAAAGCTATCTAGAATTGGTAAAGGACTGTTTACTTGGCTAGGATGGGGTGGGCACAGACAAGGGAGACAGAAACAGGAGATGGTGAGCGTTATGATGTATGTGTGCAAGCCCAAGTGTTTAGGAACACAGGCATGCCTACCTCTTGCTGCTTTAGCAGAAGAATTTGTTAGAAAGTAGATGGGTGAACGGGTGAACTACTGGCCGCTCTATTTGTATAAAATGAAAACAAAACTGTATATTAGAAGAGGCAGAATGTCAGAAAAGTCCATGAAACAGACATGCAGGAGAAGTGATCCGATGGCCAGCCCAGTATTTCCCCTTCAGACATGAACTCACAATCTAAAGGAGAAACTATGAATCATCTCTAAGTGAACTGGGCCACATATCTGGAATCTGTTTGATATGATTATAGGCTTCTTTTTCAAAAGAAAAACTGAGGATTAAAAGAGGAGTGGAGAAGTGAGGGTTTCTTGGATTTGTCTTTATTAAACTTAAGAGTAAATTGGAAGAGTTACTACTGATCAAGAACAAAGTACCTCACCCTGCAGTATGGCAATCAACCACACAAGGCTGGCAGGGACCCTCTCTCCCGTTAATGTTTTCTATTAGGCTCAAGTGGTTAAGATTATTTTTGAAGCCTTATAACCTTTCAGATAAAGCATCTAGAGGGGGGAAAAAAAAACCCAACTTTTAAAAACAAGGTTATATAATACGGACTCAGCAACAGAAGTGAAGTCACTGCATGTGCACATGTAAGACCTTTTGCTTTTTAAAAGAAACCCTCTTGCTACCATAAATTAGCTCCAGAGACATGACTGTTTGCAGGGGCCATCAGTCTCATGGCTGCCTTTGTGCACACAAAAGTGCAAGGTATTAACGGTGT